TCAACACAGAGCCCTCATCGGAGCCTTCCCCAGACTCCAGGACTGGCCCATCTTCCTCCCCAACCTCCTCACTGTCCGAATCTGCTGCCAGCTTCCCTGGCTGCTGGTGGGCCACAAAAGGTCAATGCCTTTTCAGTGGTGTGTGTGTGTGTGTGTGTGTGTGTGTGTGTGATTTTCTCATTGAGACTCCAGGCCTCGGATCTCTCTTTGGTCTCCCATCCACCTTTGCTTAACTCCTCTGCCACTCAGTCCCAGGCACGGTGGATGTTGGTTCCTTTGGCATAACATGGTGGTCGCCGAAGCAAAAGAAGAAATTCTGGCGTCGGGGAAGGTTCTGCGACATTTCAATTCAGGAGTTGTGTTTTTGGTGCTGTGTTTTTTCCAAAATACTATAAATCAGAGGTGTCCAGTCTTGGCCACTTCAAGACTCGTGGGCTTCAACTCCCAGAATTCCCCAGCCAGCCATGAACGTTTTAAGTCTTTGGGACTTCAACTCCCAGAATTCATCATGGCTGACGGGGGGGAATTCTGGGAGTTGAAGTCCACAAGTCTTAATGTGGCCAAGCTTGGACATGCAATGCTATAGATCCCTGCCTGCCTCAGTGGAGGAGGGCGTGAGCGTCTCAACCGATTCTTCTCTTCCCCGCAGGAACTAAGGAACCAGAAGCAGAAAATTGCCTCGGAAAGGGAACGGATTCAGGCCGAACTTGATCACTTGAGAAAGTGCCTTGCGTTGCCAGCCATGCAGTGGTCCCGGAGTTATTTCAAGGGGTATCCCAGGTGACATGCCCCTTGCACTAGGCCAAACATAGAGTATAGAAATAATAATAATAATAATTAATAATAATAATAATCTATTTTATTACCTGGAATATTTAATATTTTTCACGGGGAGGTTTGAAGCTTAAATAAATAATAAATAAAAAAAGAATAAATAAATAAATCAAAAGGATGTGCCATGCATGGAGCAAAAAACAAAAACAAACAAACCACGATTTGGCGGGAAGCCAGAAAAAAAAAAGGATAAATCTGAACCCCGCCTCTTTCAGAAGTGCAACCGAACTCTTGAGACTTATTTTATTTTATTTTTTTTGAAACTCCGCGAGTGATCCATTTCAACGGAAGTCTACGTTTTTCAAGACTTTGGAAAGGGTTCATTTCCCTTCGGCATCTTCGTCTGCTTTTCTTCCTTCTCTCTCCTTTTTTTTTATTTTTTATTATTTTTTTGTCTTTTGAAGATCTTGGTCGAATCCGGAGATTCCATCAATGACACTAAACGCTCCCTCTTCCTGTCCCCGAAGGAGCCGCTGGATTTAAAATCCCGGCTTCCCGCTCCGTCTCGTTGCCATAACCCCTTCGATTGCGACACTCGAGCCCTCCTGCTTCGTTTGTTCTTGAAATACGTTTTGTCTCCTCGTCCGAGAGAACACCCAGCATACCCTCTGTTGTTTTTTTTTGGGTTAGAACGGACTGGATATTTTGGATAACCTTAAAACCTGCACAGTCAATAAATCTAGTAGAATAAGAAAAACCGCAGCTCCCTAACGCCGGACTTCCCATGCATCCGTCAGCTTTTGGGCTGGAAGTGCACTTCAACCTGACAAATAAAAAAGTGAATACACACAAAAACAAGGTACACTTTTTATTCCTGGGGAGGGGGAGGAGGGGCGAGATGTACAGAACATACCGACGCATAGATTATGTACCCTGGAGGGTAGAATTTTCATACAAAGATTTTGCAATTAAAAAGAGTTGGAAAAAAATAAAAATAAAATAAAAGGTGCTTCAGCCTTAGTGTGTATATATTTAAAAAAAAAAGAAGTTTTGTATGTTTTTATTACTTTAATTATTATTATAAAAAGCTTGCCATTTTCAATATGTTTCTGCTTTTTTTTCCTCCTTTTTTTTTTGGCAAAAGGAAAAAAAAAACGGGCTTGCTTTATGTGTTTTTACAGCTGCTGGTCAGGACCTGATAAAATAATAAAAGTGTTTTTGTTTTGTTTTTTTAAACAATTTGAAAGGGGAGTTTTCTGCTGGGCGAGTGCGTCCCACCTGTTGATATTTTGCAGCACGGAGCGCCAGTTGCTGGTGGAGAAAGAAACTCTTGCTGAAAACAGAATTATCTTCCCCCTTCGTTTTCTCTGGCGTTCTTTCCATCCTTCCCTTCCTCTTTTTCTTCAAAGCACTTGGAGTACCAACCGTGCTTCACTGCTATTGAGAAGGCAAGAAACCACTAAGATTTTAGTTACCAGATTTGGTTCACCCACAAAAGGGCGACCGACAAAAGCACGCCCGACTCAACCGCGGTGACAAAACCGCGAGTTCTAAAGCGCTCCGACGAATGAGCACTGAATCGTGCCGACAACAGTGCGGTGACAGAAGGGTGCTGTAAACCTAAACCTAACCCTAAACGTAATGCTAACCCTAAACTTAACCCTAAACCTAACCCTTACCTTAACTTAAATCGCCCTTCTGTCGCCGCGCTGTTGTAAATCACCCTTCTGTTGCCGCACTGTTGTTGCCGCGCTGTTGTCGGCGTGTTGATGACGTTGCGGTTTTAGCAACGCGGTTTTGTTGTGCGCGCTTTTGTCGGGTCACAACCAGATTTAAGGCGTTGAAGTGGATTTAATCATCATCCGTTTTACCTGCAACATCTAAAATCATACATGGGTGGCACCGATTTTCTGAAATGTCGTTTCCCCCCCCCCCCCGCTTTAGAAGATCTATCCCGAATTGTCAAAGAAGTATATGGAAAAAAAGAAGGCAACAGTCATGCTGCTTATTTAAAGCTAGAGTTGTTCACACACAAACACCCAATCTGGTGGCATGACAAAAAAAAGCCCATTCTGCAAGGGGAGAAAGACAGTTCTCCACTTAACGACCGTTTCATTAGTGTCTGTCCCAGTTACAATGGCACACTGAAAAAAAGCGACTTCTTCTTACTGAGCAACGGTTGAAGCATCTTCACAGTTCCCATCCCCACAATCTGGGCACTTTGGCAACCAAGTTGCCTTTGGGATGCTTGCAAGACCACCGCGGCATTACGGGACCCTCAATGGCAACTTTCCCAGCCAGCTTCCCATAAGCAAAGTCAGTGAAAGAAGCTGGGTTCACTTAATAACTGTGGGTTTTTGCGTGGCAAAAAGGTTGTAAAATCAGGCAAATGATTCGTTTAACAACCTTCTTGCTTAGTTCTAGTTGTGGTTCTAAACTGAGGGCTACCTGTGCTTTGCAAATGGACCTCAGCAAACTTGCCTGGGTTTTTATTTTTATTTTTTTTTGCGTTTCACTGGTGCTAAATACCACCATCTTTCCTGCCAAATGAAATTATCTACTATGGGTGGGACTCCTGGAATATGGTGGGGCTGCCGCTGGGCTAATTCTTTACCATAGGATCGTGATGGCATGCCTAGCCATCTCTCTGGGCACTCCAGCAGTTGCCTGTTGATCTTATGCGTTCCGGCGCGCGCGTGCGCTCCGGCCAGCTGGGCTCCATGCTCGCGGGAGCACAGGAAACTGGAAGAGCAGCTCTCCCCAGCAGGAATACACATGCTGGCCAGCTGGTCTTCGTCCATGCATGCATG